ACTGTTTGGGATTACAACTTGAGTACATCAAAGGAGGAATCCTTGTGCATCAATCGGCTTATATCGAAAAGGTACTCAAGCGATTTAATATGGACCAAGCTCACCCATTGACCAGCCCAATGGTAGTTAGAAGCTTAAGTGATGACCCTCTTGGTCCCAAAAAGGATGATGAAGAAATCCTTGGTCCTGAAAAGCCATACCTCAGTGCTGTAGGAGCGTTAATGTACCTGGCTAGTCACACTAGACCAGACATATGTTTCGCCGTGAACCTCCTCGCTCGATATAGTTCATCTCCAACTCAGAGGCACTGGAACGGTATAAAACATCTCCTAAGATACCTTCGAGGTACTCAAGACTTAGGACTCTTCTATACTAACCAAAATAAAGATGGGTTAGTCGGCTTCGCCGATGCAGGATATCTATCAGATCCGCACACTGCCAAGTCTCAAACTGGCTACGTTTTTATGCATGGAGGAACAGCCATCTCTTGGAGATCAATGAAGCAGACACTCACTGCCACTTCATCAAACCATGCTGAAATCCTAGCCATTCATGAGGCTAGTAGGGAATGCGTCTGGCTGCGCTCCATGACTCAGCACATCCGCAGAGATTGTGGTATGGACGAAGACACACAGCCCACGGTGATGTATGAAGACAACGCGGCATGCATAGCTCAGCTCAAGGAAGGATATATCAAAGGAGATCGGACGAAGCACATTCTACCGAAGTTCTTCTCAACCTCAGACTGGCAGAAGGACGGCACTCTCAGCGTTCAGCAGGTCCGATCCAGTGAGAATTCAGCTGACCTCTTCACCAAATCATTGCCTACTTCAACACACCGGAAGCTCGTCAAACAGATAGGAATGTATAGACTTAGAGATCTGCAGTGATGCTACAATCATGGGGAGTAATGCGTGTTATAACACATATCATATATGGACTCTTATACCGGCCCATTAGGCCCATCAGGGCATTGTACTTAACCTAGATTCCCTATGTATTCTATATATATATTCCAGTGATTAATAAAGTTTCTAAGTTTTCACAACAAAGAGAAAATTTTATTAAAAATATAAGTGATGATAAGTCTAAGTACATCGATGCCTTTATATAGAGGCAAAAGGGAGACCATCGGTCATACATAAGAATTAAAAGACAATAAATGAAAGTAAAGAGAACGTTGAATAACGATCAGACTTCCTGGTGACCCTTCGCATCCTCCCGCTAGACTTTTGAACTTCTAGCCGTTATACTTGGCCGCGAATCGAACCATGGTCGTGAGATGGGTGTGCCTTAACCTCGTTAAAATCCCATTCGGAAAACCCAGTGGGACAAAACCGAATGCAAGGAAAAAAAGTATTAAAACGACACCCTAACCAGGTCAGTTCGGACCAGAGTACATAATGATGGTCATGGCTTTATGAACTGGTGTTGGGTCGTCAGCTCGGCCTTGGCTTCCCAGGTCGGTGAGAACTCGTTGGATCGCTCCCGTAAGCATCTTGGACCGGTTGGCACGGCCAGGACTTCATTTAGGTCGGCCACATTTAGGTCGGCCACTTGGTCTTGTTTCCCGACCTGAACCTCGGTTCGCACCTCGTCCCTTGTTTCCTCTTCCATAATTCTATCATTAATGGTTTGCAATCTGGGCTGATCTCAATACCATTTCGTTTGAAGCTACTCGCCGAAAAAGCACAAACTCGAATCTGTGATACATTTACATAAAAACTTTATTAACATACATGGAACATTTTAGAAGTTAGATTTGAAAAAACCCCAAAGAGTGCACACATTCTTTAGCCACTCAAAGATTTGAAATGAACAGTGAACGAAACATATAGGGAAAGATAGAGAAAAAGAGAACAAAAACAAGAAGCATCATGTACGTACTGTTTTAGTAGCAGCTGTTGGTAGCATAAACAATGTCAAGCCTCCATCAACACAGAGTCGATTACGGAACATCGTTGCAGGCCTTGGTGCAAGATATCTGCATTTGTTCTTAAATTATACTTGTCAAAAAGTTTTGTTTTCCAACAGAAACTTGGAAGTTTTAATAAGCAAGAGAGTGATATTTACCCTGGAATAAAGGCAGATGTAAAAACTGCATCTATAAGGTCGCAGAAATATCTGAATTTTGCCAAGAAGATTTGTGATGTGATCATAATAAGGATCTGCCCTTGATCGACACTGTAACGACTGGAACTTAAAAGATAGACCTTGAAAACAATCAGAACCGTTCCAAAGTTTTTGGAGAAGCGATACGACACACACAAGAGTCGCAGAACACTTTTGATATGTCTGCTTGAATCTTCTAAGTGATATGACTCACACAAAGTCGATTCGAGTTGTTTGAAGGATATGACACACCAACAAACGAGATCTTAATTTTTAAGAAAGAGTTTTAGAATAAAAGATAAGATGCTTTGATACAAAGGAGTTCAAGCGAATATAAAGAAGAAAGAAAGAAGAGATGAGTCTCACAATCATTAACTCATCTCGGAAATAAACAAAGAACAAGCTGTTAAGTTTGAACTTGATTTTAGACGCTCCTCTTGATGACACAGCTTGGGCTTAAGGCTTTGTGTACTTAGGTGAAATAGAGATCCTTTCTTGTCTCATTAAAAACCTATCTCAAGAAAACCCAATGGGACCAAACTTGAGACAAGGAAAAAGAGTACAAGCCTGGATCTCAAGCCCACTTAGCCGTCTTGGACTTGGATCACAATCAGGGTTCTTGTGATCGGATTTTTCCCTCCTGAATCGAGTCAAGGCCTTTGATGATAGCTCCAATGATTTGCTTAAGCTTCTTAGTCCTTGATCGAGTCATTGGACCACTTAGAATGCTTAAAAGATCTTTTTGATCAGCTACAATCTCTTGTTCCTCGGCTACTTGCTCTCCATCTTTTAGTTCTAACTCCAAGTCTTTATTGTTGCTTTCCAGAATTACATCAATTTGAGTTTCGGTGTATATGATATTTTTCAGAAACCCAAAAGAAAAGAAGAAAGACTCAGATTCTTCTTCTGCTTAGTGATGTGTATAGTAAACAGCAAACAACATTTTCATGTAACAAAGTGGATTTTGTAAACATTACTGTGTAATGTACTATACAAATATTTGGTGAATCTGTTTGTCCTCAGCTAAGATTTTTTTATTGCAAGCAACGCATCAGCATGAGACAAACGAAAATTAAGAACTTTAAAATTGAACAAGTCAGAGTTTTTAGAATTTTTAGAACAGGGCCTTGAAGGAGAGAAGAAGTAAAGAAAAAAGCTGAGCTTTTTCTAAACCCATTAGATACAAAAAGAACATTGAGCCTTTTAAAACCCAATTCTTGTTCTGTTAATAATATAAATTTAATTCCTTTCTCTTCTCTGAGGAAACATTTCGGCGAAGCAAAATGTCGTCTTATGCGCTAATGTTACATATTCCGTCGGTGGTGTCGGTGAGAAATACCAAACTCGGACGGAGTGTCAGTGATTGCGGTCGGAATTGGTCTGGACTTACTAAGTTGTCGGAGAAATCGAAGAGCAAACGAGGTTATGGTCTCTCCTGTAAGGCGGAGCTGTCGAAGCTAGCTCCAGCCGTCTCTGCTGGTTATGGTGTTCTTCTTCTAGGAGGCGGTCTCTTCGCTTGTAAGTTACTGATCTCATGATACATACGTTTTTATTTGGATTTTATTGCTCACTTCACTAAAGTTTTGATCTTTTTGGTACCTAAAATTTGAAGATACCAAATCTGGAAGCAAGGGTTCTCTCTTTGGTGGTTTGACTGGTGCTGTTCTTATGGCAGCTGTAAGATCTTCCTCTCTCACCTCTCATTGTTAGTTTCTAGTTGCTGCATAGCCTGTTAAAGTCTAAAGTTGACCTTTGAGGAAGGTAGTGAGGAACTAAGTGCACTGTTCAAAACATTGTTTCTGCTTGATGTTGTTCTCATCCAAGCTTTGTTTCAATTCCTTGAGAAAAATGGTGTCTTTGTCTCTTTAGGGTGGCTTAAGAAACTATCTTAACAGTTGATTTGGTAGAATATTTTGCTAATGTAGCATAACATCTGTTCCTATCATATTGTATGGTTTGTGATATTGGATCTTCTCTTTCCAAGTATTAGATTTCAAGGTCTGATCAACCCTTACTTACTAGTATGTTCAGAAGTTTGTCTGATTACAGCTGCATGAACCCCTGTTATTTTTATGTTAACATAAACAAAATTCAAGCCCTTAAAGATCCCTGAATTTTGTTATTGTATCTTCTTGATTGTGATCCTCTAAATCTGTGTTTTACAAAACCTTTGTTTCTCTTTGTTGTTTCCTGTTGAGCAAAGTTCTTCTTGTTCAACTGTAATTGTTAACTGAAGCATACCAATGTTTGAATATCTATATATAGGCCTACTTCCTCATTAAGTCACCAAAGACCAGAGTCCTCGGCTATACCATAGGACTCGGCTCTGCCTTCCTCTTCTCTTTCTTCTTCGGTAAGAACAAGTTTCTAAGAAGATGTGTTTTGTCTTTGCATGTATGTCAGATTCGTGATGAATATTTTCTCATTTTTCTGTTCATTTCTACAACTCTCTTGCAGGTTTCCGTTTCGCATCTTCCCGGAAACTGGTCCCAGCGGGGCCGCTACTCCTCCTTTCCATCGGCATGTTGGCCTTCTTTGTAATGGCTTATATGCAACACAGTTAACCCGCTATATCCGTACAGGATCTGTTACCTCTACCTTAAGCCTACATGAGAGCATGGTCTTTTAAGAAGATAGGAACGTTCTCAAAGTTTGAATCAAATACTGTTTTGCTTTTGCCCACACTCCAATAAATTGCTAGGCTAATGTGGAAAGAATAATGTTTGTTTGAGGGTTGTTGCTAAATTCAGACACAGATGCATCTCCATTCTAGATGAAAGCTTTTAGCTTTCTGATCTTGAATGATCCATGCTGAAACTTAAGAGTACGGTGAATTATTTTGTGAAAATACTCTTTGGAAATTTGAGCGAGATTGGCTACAAATAGTCAAGACAGAAAGTGTTGTATCATTGAATTTGTTTGATCTAAGAACTACAAGTTCCTGTAACTTCAAGAGCCAAGCTTATGCAAAAACTATAAGAATCTATTGTAGTGCAATAAATAGACTATATGTATATGGTTAAAAGAAATGAGTATGGAGTTCTTGTGTTCTAACTAGCTTGAATCGTTTGAGCTGAAGGAGTATCGTCATAGACCAATTCCTCGACTGGATTCATCTCCGCCCATGTGGCTGCATCTGCATATCCCAGATCAAACAACTTCTCCAACACTTCGTCCTCTGCTGGTTCCAGTGCCCAATTCAATAGCTAAGTATCAGAAAAAACAAGATTAACACACTTACTCTCAACGGAGAACAATCTTTTAAAGAAACTAAGCACTAACTTGTCTAGATGTTGCCCTGTTTAATGGGTTGCAATCTGGGCTGATCTCAATGCCCTTAAGTTTGAAGCTACTCGCCGAAAAAGCACAAACTCGAACCTGTGATACATTGACATAGAAACTTTAATAACATACATGGAACATCTTTAGAAGTTAGATTTGAAAAAACCCCAAAGAATGCACATATTCTTTAGCCGGTCTTTAACCACTCAAAAATTTGAAATGAACAGTGAACGAAACATATTGAGAAAGATAGAGAAAAAGAGAACAAAACAAGAAGCATCATGTACGTACTGTTTTAGCAGCAGCTGTTGGTGGCATAAACAATGTCAAGCCTCCATCAACACAGAGTCGATTACGGAACATCGTTGCAGGCCTTGGTGCAAGATATCTGCATTTGTTCTTAAACTATACTTGTCAAAAAGTTTTGTTTTCCAAGAGAAACTTGGAAGTTTTAATAAGCAAGAGAGTGATATTTTACCCTGGAATAAAGGCAGATGTAAAAACTGCATCTATAAGGTCACTTTTGGAATCAAACTGATCCACTAGTAACCCTCTAGGTTTCCAAAAAACCTGCGTGATGGCAACTACAATACCATGGAATGATCAGAAATGTCAGACCCGAAGTCCTTTGGCAAAAGGAAACCAAACTGAAGAAAGAAGATGTTGTTCTCACCACGAACTCTGCCATTGGACCTAATGTGAATATCATCTGGAAGTAACTTCTCCATAGAATCTCTGAGGACAGCCTAAAATCCACAAGAACTTGGATAAACAACTTAACATGCGACACTTAAAATCGAAAATCATCACATCGACACAAACTCTATCTTGCATACAAGAACACCTAGAAAGAAACTGTTTGAACACAGAACCTGATTGATTTTCAAGAAGTGAAGCACCTAGGAACTTAAACCATTCCATGATTTAAGAGCCATATTGAGAAATGGGTCAATAGTTACAGGAAAAAGGTTCAATACCCCAAGACGAAAAGCAGTGCCATTGCGTCGACAATCATCAGCAAGAGCTTTGGTAGCTTCAAGGGCTTCATGCATAGAGGATCCTGAGGCTATCGTAGCACAGACAATAGCACCAGCAGAAGCTCCTGCCAAAGGAGTATTTTCCTAAAAAAAAAATCAAAACAACAAACAAACCCATCTTTCTCTCACAATCAAGACACCAAAACACCTTTCTTTAATTCATAAAACACACAGAAACTCATGAGAGAGCACCTTGATGTAACCCTTTTCTATAAGCAACTGAGCAACTCCAAGATGATAAGGAAACAAAAGACCAGCAGCGGAGAAACTAAACCCAGGGCTTGTAATGACCCTCCTCTCTTTCTCCGCCTCTACATCCTTAACCCTCTGTTCCCAAATCACCGCCGGCTCAATCTCATCCTCGATTACGGTTCCTATCCTGTCTCCATCATCAATTTCTCGATTGGACCTCTTCAAAAGCCTCGACGCGATTCCGATGAACATCTCACCGGTTGCTACAGCGAACGATCTCTTCTCGGGATTTGAAGAAACTTGCTGGTTTCCGGTGGACCCATCAGAAGAGCATGATAGCCTAAGGGGGAGAATCCTCGAGGAAAGGTTATAGCTTTTACTTGTACGGAGCGAGATGAAAGGTCGAGGAAGAAGAGAGGTCGCCATGGAACAAAGGGTCACACTCAAGTTTCACAATTTTGGGGAAAGTTAAGGGATTTGATTCACACGATCATCGCAGCTCACAAGAAAACAGTCATGAGGATGAGACTGTGTTGGTTTCGTGGCGAAACTGTTCGCTAAGCCCTTGAAACTTTATATATATGAAATAGCAGAATTTATAAAATTTTGTTCTCCCAGGAAACAGCAACATTAGAAAAGAAAGTGTCTCTCTTTAAACTTTATCGAATCAGTTGGTGAGTCAACACCGACTCTTTTAGTTTCTCTGTTTTTGGGAGAGAACCTAGGAACGACGAAATTAGAGTAAAAAAAATGTGATTTGATTTCTGTTTCTGTTTCGGTTTCAACCACAAACAACAACTAAATTTACTAATTAGTCATCATTCCAAGTTGCAAAAAACAAAAAAAAAAGTCATCATGATCATGACAGTCCTATATTGAATTCCTGATACTCATTTTATAATTATAATGCGCAAAGGATTGTCCAATAGATAAACAAACACACAAATAGATAACTCACAAGTATCTCTTAAAAAATATTGTGTTTTAGTTTTTCTCATGAATGTGAACTCTGCCAAGTATACCAAAATAGACAACTCACAAGTCACAAGTATCTCTTAGAAAATGTAGTTCTTTCCAAGTTTGACAAGACCATACAAGTCTTGTAAGCTACACCCTAGCTTGATTTTCCTACAAGAAAACTATAAAAACCCTTTTTGCGTTAGAAACTTTTGGCTTACAATGCATAATTTTCGTAAAAGGCTATCAGACTATACTTACGAATTACTAATTAGTCATCATGCCAAGTTGCACAAAAAAAAGTCTGATCCTCATTATAATTAGAACGCGCACAGGACTAATGCAATAGACAAACAAACACACAAATAGCGTATCGTGTTTTAGTTCTTCTCATGAATGTAAACTCTGCCAAGTATATACCAAAACAGATAACTCACAAGTATCTCTAAGAAAATCTAGTTCTTCTCAAGTTTAACAAGACGATACAATTCTTGTAAGCTACACCCTAGCTCGATTTTCCTACAAGATTTTTTGAGTTAGAAACTTTTAGCTTACAATACTTTTTTTTTTTTGTGTGTTCAAAACAATGCATAAGTTTCTAAGGAGTCTATCAGCTATTTAAACTTACAGATCCGATGCCTTAACCTATAATCTACACCCTTATCACCATTGATCAAGAATTTTGTCTTCCTTCTAAAATCAGGTTGGTCTATGTTATACACTTGACAGTCGAAGTAAGCCTTGAACATTTCCAGCCAGTCATACCGAAAATAACTACATATTTTTTGAGTTTTTTTTTTTTTAACATCTTCATTACATTTTTTTTTTTGAGTTGGACAATGATTAGAACATCCCCAACCATAACTAAGACATCTTGGATTAATTCTCGTTATGACATGTCATAAGCACACGGTTCTTAAGCCTTCCTCTAGGCATGCCAGTGATCATAATTAATCGATTAAGGGTATCAAAAACTTAAGTTTGAAACTTATATATCGTGGGAACGTTATATAGGATTTATGACTTTGCAAATACTAGTACGTATAAATATCAAATCGCTCAAAAATTTGCTCAAAACATTTTTTGTACTTTGAAATATTATCATCTTATAATTAATTCTTAACACCCAAAGCTAATAAATTGGAAAATTTCACAGAAATAATTAGAATACCCTTACCTAATTACTCTCAAATCTCAAAATTTACCATACTGAGAAACGTCATTGCTCAGATGTATAACAATAGTCGCATGTCAACGTAGCTCTACCATCACCGCAAGTCTCCCACGTGCGATGCATCATGCATGCAGGGATTGGCTTTCTCGTTAATTCTATTGTTATTATCTCAAATGTCAAATCCCTTTTCATTGAGTTCATAAATCCATAATCCATTTATATATTGGTTGCTTGAGTCAATGAAAGGAATTAAACAGATAGAATGCTTGAAAGTTAGACAAACCAAAAATAAACAAGAATATAACGCAAAGTCATATATACAATTAGGTGGAGACCCGCGCGATGCGCGGATTTGCGAGGTCCATGAAGCTGAATACTTAAATTTTTTTCTATAATATCAAAACGCTAATGTATTATAGAAACTTTTAATTTTGGAAGAGCATTCATAGTCATCAAATTGGTTAGTTGGATAATTGTATTTTTTAAAAAATTCATTAATTCTGCAAACACCATTATTTTTTTTGTATTCTATTTGTTTTATGTTTGATTCTCTGCAATGAGGACAATCATTAATAGGAAAAAGATAAGTAAACTAAAATGTCATTTAATAAATAATTAAATAAACCATTTTTAATAGTAAAAATCTAAACCTTAAAAAAAAAACTATTGTTTCCTTACATTCTGAAAGACGGCTTTGTATACAACGTTCAAAGTCTTGGTTTGTGGCTGACTCATTGTATCCGTTATCAGAATCTTCAAACCAGCTCTTGAAGTAACATGTGATATAACCACATAAAGTTGTCCATGGGAAAATACTGGTTTGGTAAATACAGGTCAACCTTTTGCAAAGTCGGTCCTTGACTTTTATTGATAGTCATTGCATAGGCGATAGCTACCGGAAATTGTCTACGCCTCATTCTAAAAGGAAATCTTGTCTCTGTGGGGGAAACAAACATTGGGATCAAGACCTTTTGACCAATATATTCTCCAGTTATGTGGCTAGCTTGAATAACATGTTTGGCCAACTGTGTTACCAAGAGTCTTGTTTCATTGCATAAACCACCTCTAGGGTCAATATTCCGAAGCAACATAATAGGTGTCCCTATTTTCAATTTCAATTCATGGTTTGGAAATCCTGAGATCTTTATACTATTAAAATATTCCTGTGTGTAAACTTTCTCGTCAATCTTGCCCTTATCAGAAATATCGATGCTGTCCGAGCTTAAATATGTATGTTCTTCAGCTAGAAAAATGTTTTACGAAGTTCAGTTGATCGCATTATGAAGCTAATGTGTAAGATCGTATGTATAAAACATTAAATATGTTTACCTTTTATTTCCGACAACATGTATTCGTTTATTAATCCCACGTCTGCATTTCTTGGGCTAAGAATTGCCCTGTCTTGAAAAAATTTTGGATCTCTTTCCGATCCGTATGAATCACCATCTCTTTAACAGGATCAGCACATTCTTTTATCAGTAAATCGTTAGGGATTTCAATTTCAGCTTCATCGTTGCCAGTCGAAATAATTTTGCCGTCTCCTACATCTTTGAAAAGGCCTCTACCTCATTAACCCGATCACCTTCAGCACCATTTTGAAGCCTCATATTCTTGGTTAATTCTAAAAATGTACAACTGTCCCATAAAGTAGAAGAATTTATGGTAGGCATAAGAGTTCGGGTGCTATTACCTCCTACAATAACAGGCAATATTTGCCTGAAATCTCCTCCGAATACAATGAGTTTCCCACCAAAAAGGTCATCATTTTTGAGTATATCACGCATATTTCTATCGAGAAATCAATGTTGTAAACTAAGACTAAAAATAATTAAAAACAATTATTTATTATATACATAATAAAATAAAGCAAATCCAAAAAGGAAACACCATCTAAAATTTAAAAAAAAAATTTACTATTGAACTCACAAATCAATTGAATTAAGAAAAAAACAAGTTTTTCGTCTTTACATAATTGTTTTTCTTCTTCTTCTTTTTTATCTTTTAGTTTTTTATTTATTTATTTCTTCATCGTCTTCCATCTTTATCTCTTTCTTCTCTCACGTTTTCTTCTTAGTTTTCTTTCATTTTCTTTTTAGTTTTCTTTCATTTTCTTTTATTTTTTTTTCTTTCTACTCTTCATTCTATATCTCTTTTGTTACTTCTTATTCTTTAAGTTTTTTTTGTCACATCTTCTTCTTGTTTTCTGTTTTCCTCATCTTCTTCCTATTTTACTTCTTCTTCTTCTTCATCACCTTTGTCTTCTTCGTTCTCTCCGACTTTATATTCTTCTTATTTTTCGTCATTTATTTATATCAATCAAATATATGTACTTGAAAAATTTAACTATTTCTCTCTCCTCATCCATGTGTCCATCCCTCTTTCAATATTTATATCTCATTCTCTCCTTTCCCCTTCGTCCTAAATTTATATATATCATATGATTTAGATAACTACATTTAAAATAAGAAGTATTTCAGAAATAAAAATAGGAACACAAAAAATATGAGCTAACATAGATTGAATATCATGTACCTATAAGGTTAACTCTCTCTACCATTTCTCTTTCTCTCTCTTTCTCCCCCCCCCTCTCTCTCTTTCTCTCTCTATTTCTCTCCCTCACACTCTCTCTCTCCATCGACATGTCCCTAAAGCATCTATATGTCCCTGAAAGCTTTAACTCAATTTCTCTCTGTCTCCCACTTTCTCCAAATTCATCACTCATTTCCCCTTCTTATTCTTCAATATTTTTCGTCATATCATAATTTTTCTTATTATGATTTTTTTTTTCTTTTTTCGGTCTTCTTCTTCGTCTTTTCCTTCTTCTTTATCATCGACGTCAATTTTCTTATTCCTTATCTTTTCTTTCCTCTTCTTCATCGTCTACAACTTCTATTTCATTTCTCTCTTCTGATTTGTCTTCTTCTTCTTCTTCCTCTTTTGTTTTGTTCTACTCTCTCCTACTCTTTATCTTTTGGTTTAGTTCTTCTTCGTATTTTTCTTACTTTTTTCAGTTTTTATTCGTCTTCTTCTTCAATCTCCAATTTTAAGGATTTTGCCTTCTTTTTTGGGCCCAATTTATTCATCTTATTTTTCCTCATATTTTCCTTTTTCTTCTTCATCATCTTTGACTTGTACTTTTTTTCTTGATCTTCTTTTTCTCATATTTTCCTTCTTCTTCTTCTTCATCGGATTTGACTTGTACTTTTTTTTCTTCTTCCTCTTATATATCTTTCGATTGTCTTCTTCTGGTTTTTCTTGATCTCTTTCTCATCCTCACCAACTTCATTTTCTCATTTTTTCTTCTTTTATTTTGTTTTCTTCCGGTTTCCTTCTTTAACTAAAACATCCTTTTTTTATATCCTTATTATTCTTCACTATTTCGTGTTCTGATATGCTTTTTTATTTTCAATGATTTTATTCAAATTCATCTTTTTTTTTAGTTTTTATCATTAACTACATCTTCTTCTTTATACTTATACTTCTAAGTTATA